AATCAAAAATATCTGAATATGTCTTTTCAGATCTGGTGGTAATATACTCAAGCAAACAAACCAAGTTGTTGAGACCACCTGTGCTGACTCTTTGACCTCTGAACTCCTCCCAGGCTGGATGTACGGCTCTCTCAATGGCATTGTGGGACTGTTCCCTGCGGAGTACGTCAAGTCTTTGGCTCGTCACGAGGTGGAAACATCCTCATCGAAGGTAGGGACCGCAGTACACGTGTGAGAGTTTTCTACATGTGGGAGAGGTTTCTGCATGTGGCGAGATTTTCATGGTGATACCCATAGGCAAAGTGCAGTTAATAATTTTAATTTGCTCAAGGAGATAATTACTCCTGGTTTTAACTCACTCACTGCCTCCGTTACCTCTATCCGTATGTCGTGTTTTACTATCGTATCCATATTATGTGGGGAACTTTGTGCCACCACTTAACCCTATCCGTACGTCGTGTTTTACTATCGTATCCATACGACGTGGGGAACTCTGTGCCACCACTTTCCAAAGAGGAAATTTACTTATTAATCCGATCCGTACGCTTTGCACAACATTCTGTCAAAATTATTTTTGGAGAAATACTGAAAGTGTCAAAGAGATCTTCGTACTAAAAGTAATCTAAAATGTGAAGAATACAACCCCTGGGATACAAAATGACCCCAGGCATACGGATAGGGTTAAGACTGTGTAAGCTCTGTCGTGTGCTCCTTCTTTCCTGTCAAACATCTCTATTGTCTTTATCTCTCCTCCTCCTTTGCTTTGTATGTTAGTCTCCAGCTACACCTCTAATCTTTGGCTGTCAAATGACTTTTTTGTGTAGCAGGTGCTGTAAAACTCTTAGTAAAACTAAAACTCAACGGTATAAACTCTTTGATGAGATTAAATTGTCAAGTCTGAGAGTTAAAAGATTTAAACTTATTTTTTAATGGTCCATAGTGAATGTAACTTTTGCCTTCAATCTGTCTTCGTTGGCTTAATTGACGTCCCTGATATAATTTAATAGAGCTTTGAATGTCGAAAAACTCTGTACCTCAGTGAATCATAACTGGAAAACTTTTTTAAAATCTAGAAAAAGATGAAATTGTGTAAGTTAACACCCATTGTCTAGGATAAAAGTAGTTGCCTTAGACAGGTGAACATCTTGGACAGTTTCATTATCATAGGACAAAATGTGAAGGGGAAGTAGGAAGTGGTCATTTGTACAGGTGATTGTCTTGGACAGGTGGCCATTAGAGCAGGTACAACTGAGCCTGATAATCGTTGTTGTTTTTTCAGTGACATTTACCTAATTTATTGCAATATAATACTTGCTTTTGTTTTGTAGAAACTGTGATTACAAATGTTTCTTTCTGTGTGTCTACTCCAGCCTGTGCTGTATCAGCCCAAGACTCTCCACCCTCTGCCAGTCAGGGTAAGTCACTTGTGGGCTCTTCAAAAAAAACAGTTGTTTTTTACGAATACTTGTATAGGTTTGATATCCCTGTCTAAACTCTATGTGTTTTTAACTCTTTACACCCTGAGTTTTTTCCCACCGTTTCACGGAGTTTTTATCTACAATCACCTAAACCTGGTGCACTATGTCTCATTATAACCCCAAAAGCTTGACTCCAACTTCTAAATGGCGGAAACAAAGGCTTATTCTTTACTAAAAAAAACTTGTTTCTGGAATAGTTCCGAAAAACAAGCAAAAACTAGCACTAGATGAAATGAAAACAGATGTCACTAGTATTGGACGCTCCCATCGTCCGTTGGGGAACAGAGTTATTACCGCCAGACGCTCCCGGCGTCTGATGGAGCTTGAAGAGTTAAGGAGTGGGACTTCTGAATTCATCAACGTCCATTTCCAAAAGGGTAGAGCCAAATGTGTGAAAAGCTTTAAAACTCTTCAACACATCCCAAGTTCAGAACACCCCATGTGAGAATTGAACCAGGATTCTCTGCTCTGTAGTGCAGCATTTCTTCATTCAAGTGTCAGCTGAAACTTTTTATATATATAAGAGAGAGAGAGAGAGAGAGAGAGAGAGAGAATA